ATACATTTATAAATTTAATACATTTATAAGTAATAAATGTAATACATCAAAAATAAAAAAATAAACTATATTTAGGAGAGTAAAGTTAATAATCTTTCATCCTAATAGGGAAACATTAGCAATCTTACATTCTTATTTATTTCAAATAAAAAAATCAAATTTATCACCAAAAAATGATCACAAATCAAAAAAAGGAAAGAAAAAGAGAAACTAAGATAAAATATAGTTTTAGCTTTCCTTCATAATATTAAGATACTCAGACACGGGAAAAGGTTAAACACACACGTACCATTTGCTTCTGGGTGGTGAAACTTTTGCCAATGCTGGTATTTGCCAATTCCTGGTCCATCTGGGCCATGTATGACTTGAGATCATTAAGAGTTCCTTTTAAAGATGCTTCTTCCCCAGTCCCCTGTGTTTTAAGATCCAAGTCATCATCACTGTCTAAACATTCAAAGTCTTCTTCATCCAGATCATCAGAATCTGATTCATGAGGTCTTGGCCCTACACAGACCCCAACACAGAAAGAGCCACATGGTAATTTCTTCTTGAGTAGTTATACCTTTCAAAAGAGTTAAATATTATCTTCATGAAAGGACCAATATACACAAATTAACTTCATAAAAACCCCTTCCAGAAAATGGTACTGCTGGCAGATATTTTCAGAAAAGTACATAGGCTGAACTGAAAAAAAAAATTTTTTTTTTAAATGAGAATTCAATTACTAAAATTTTTTTAAAATTTAAAAACTACATGAATATATTTTGATACAAATATTCAAGCCATACAGAGTTATTATTGTCTCACAGCTCACTCTCTTCCCAGAGTTAAACATCTTTTAACAGTTTGGTGGGCATCCAGGCCTTTATGTAGTCCTACACATATGTATATAAACATAAGGTTCTTTTTTTTTTTTTCACATACATACATATTGAATTATGGTTTGCTTTTCCACTTATTTATATGTCTTGGAAGTCCTTCTTTGTGAAAACATAGATGGACCTTATTCTTTCTTAAGAATGCATAGTGTTTGGGGCACCTGGGTGGCTCAGTCGGTTAAGCGTCCGACTTCAGCTCAGGTCATGATCTCGCGGTCCATGAGTTCGAGCCCCACGTCAGGCTCTGTGCTGACAGCTCAGAGCCTGGAGCCTGTTTTGGGTTCTGTGTCTCTCTCTCTCTCTGACCCTCCCCCATTCATGCTCTGTCTCTCTCTGTCTCAAAAATAAATAAATGTTAAAAAAAACTTTTAAAAAAATGCACAATGTTTCATAACACAAACGTACTACAATTTTTTTAACCATTTCCTTCTCCATGGACATTTGGGATATTCTAGTTTTTTGCTATTAACAATGTTGCAATCACCATCTTAGCACATTATGTCTTTTTCATAGTGAAAATTCCTGGCAATAAATTACTAAGTCAAAGGTTATAAATTTTCTAGGATACCAAACCACCGTGAGAAAGACAACTTACAGTTCCACGCTCACGGTTTGACAGTGCCCATTTCTTCAGCTCTTGAGAAAACTGGGTATTGCCAATCTTTAAAATCTTTGCCAATATGATCGGCAAAAAAATAAGTTCTTATTTTGTATTGTGTATTCACTTACTAGAAACAGTTAAGTCTTTTCAAATATTTGTCTATATTTCTTCTTCAAGGCACTGCCTATTTAAATCCTTTGTTGACTTTTAAATTTGGGCTATTTGTCTTTTTATTATTAGTGTTAAGTACAGTAAGTCTAAAAGAGAATAAACAGTATGAACATGGAAACCATATCTGGCCACATAGCATTCACTCATTCAAATAATGAACAAGCAGCAACTATGTCCGGCACTGAGCTAAGCATTCTCTGCAAAATCATTCAACTGGGCAGAAGTTCATGGTTGAAAGCAACTTAAAATCATGAAGAAAAAGCAAATACTTTGACTTCCAATGCTCCAGTGCTCTAGCCACAGCCTTGTAGTTTCAAAATGAAAATAAACATCGTACTGTAACTTACCTAAAATCTTGTCAAAATAATTAAGAAAAGAATCTGCATCAAAAGTGATTGGAGTCTCAGAAGGTTCTCTGCAAGGTTAAAGGAAAAAGACCATTTATCCTAAACATAACTCTTTGGAACTTTTTTAAAGCAGTGCCATTCTTAGGAACACTACCAGATATAGGATCTCAAGAGGTACACCAAGAAAAACTGTAGTTTAAATGGTCTTGAGGGCAAAAGAAATGGGAAAGACTGATGTAAGAAAAGTAAAAATTGCACTTTGTTTATGCACATTAAACTTATGCCAATTTAGGGACCTACCCACCATCCACCTCCCACAAGATATATATAGCATTAGCAGAAGAAATCACTTATCTGAGTTAATTTACATAAAGTATATTTCTTTAAGAACTAAACCTTTAAAAGTAAATAAGAATATACCTTTCTTTATCTCTGCTTTCTTAGAGAATACTGAACATAAATTTTAATCTTCTTATGAGGCTTAAGAGCATCAACATGAATAAAGATATATTTGCTATACAAGTAACAATTCCATCTATCTTATTTTCTTACATTTATTTGCCAAATGTAACTTCCCATTTCTCCTGTTATTATTCCTTTCTCTGATGAAATCTTTTATTCCCCTCTTTTGAGTGTGAAGCTTACAATCTGCTTGTTGGTAGCAGATCTGAAGTGTGGGTTTGCTGAGAGCTAGATGTTAAGAGTCCATAAGGTTCTGAGTAAAAGTTTAAAGAGTAAAATGCAGTTTCCTTGCACAGCTCTGGGATGGAAGCTTTTAGATCTGTTGAGCAGTCTCTCTGACTTACTTTAAGAATTGCTGGGAAAGCAAGCTGGTGCAGCCACTCTGGAAAACAGTATGGGGGTCCTCAAAAAAACTAAAAATAGAACTACCCTACGACCCAGCAATTGCACTACTAGGTATTTATCCAAGGGATACAGGTGTGCTGTTTC